ATACTCATCATCAAAATTTAAAAACCTAATGTGACAATGTGAGGGTGGTGTTGACAATTTGCAGGGGGGCTCTTCCTGGGAATTATACATTCTAGTGAATGTATTACCTAATGTGACTCTGATAAGTCAACATGCTCCTTCAGTAAGCCTGATACCGGGTACAGCCAGAGGCCTTGTGAATGATGAAAAAGAATTATGTGGAAAAAAAAGTATCACTTTTTTCACCAGGTTTTCTGGGGATAAAAAAGTATCACTTTTTTCAGCCAGACATGACACACTTTTGATTTTGTGAAAGAATAAGTATGTAAAAATGTCAGTCCAACACAGAGTGGTATACCCAGAAGAAAAGCAATAACCCACAAATTATATTGACGATGGAAAAAAGCATTATAAATGACACCAAGTAGTTTAGTCAGGTTGCAGCGGTTGCAAAAAGAACTAAAAATGATAGCAATACTATTTGCCCAATATTAGAAATTAGACATTAACAAAAAAACAAATGGAAAGAAGTTGAATGTCAACAGAATATTTCAGGTGGCAACCTGAGAAGCAGCAGAAGAATCTGTGTTTTTTGGATCAGCCCAGCTCACGGTTGGGGCATTATCCTCAAGCTTAAATTTTGCGTCAGACATTCTCAGTCGTGAATATTCAGCACATGCATTATTATAGTACTCAATGAAAGCAAAACCACGATTTCGACTTGAGTTCTGCGGATCCTGCAGCAAGACTTAAAATTATACATGATTGAAAATGATTTGGACTTCATATGAAAGTGTATACCAAACTATTCACGCATGGACATGCATGGAAATTTTTTAATGATAGGAAGTGCAGACAAACCTTCACCATTTCCACATTAATAACACCAGGCCCGGTCTTGTTGGCAACCCTTTTAAGATCTTCCACCACCCAATGTCTAGGAATATTACCAATGAAAAGACGATTTTTTGCTTGAGCTGCAGAGCACTTTACCTTTCTTCCCTAATAAACAGTTAAAAAATATATGATGTGAGAAATGACTAATAAGAACGCTTGAATGCTGTGCAGCAAGGGGTTTTTTGTTAGCAAGATACATACTCTTAATGTTTGAAAAATGAATAATGGCAATATAAAAATATACAAGTTCCAACAGAGAAAGAAACAGTTGACAACAAATACTCTGCAACTTACATTATAAATTATAGATAAAACATGCTTAGATACGTGGAAGAAAAAGAAGAATTCACTCACCTTGAATTCAGTATTATTTAGCTCCTCAATTGCCTTGGAGGCCAATTCTTTTTCCCTGAAAGTGACAAAAGCATATCCTTTGTTCTGATTAGGTTCCTTTCCCTTCATTATCCTAACCTGTAACCCATAAGCAACAACCATGTAAATTTAGAAATTAAACATATCACACGTAGTGCATTGGAAAAGAAGTTACCTCCACAACTTCCCCAATGGAGTCAAAAAATTGCCTCACATCAGCTTCAGATACATCTTGACTAATACCACCTAAGTATACTTCTGACCCATGAGGTGGAAGTGCAAGAAGCTCAGCATGCTTTTTATCATTACTATTTTCTTCTACTTCAAGATCAGCATCCAGTCCCACATCGTCTGTATGCTTTAGTCTACCAGAATCCTCTTCCTCCTCTTCTTCCTCCTCCTCCTCTTCTTCCTCATCTTCTTCTACCTCTTCTTCCACCTCTTCTTCCACCTCTTCATATTCAACCTCTTCCTCTACGTCTTCGTTGTCTCCATCAAAGTCAATTTGCTCTTCAGCCTCAATTATCTTTTCAGGTTCCCTTAAAACAGAAGAGGCAGCACCAGCTCTCGTCCTCGGCATCTAATATATCTAGAAAGATAAGTTTGTGCAGCAACTCTGACGGAAGCACAGAAGCCAGAAGATTTTGGAATAAAATGAAGAAAAATGTGGAAAGGTGGGAATAAAAATAAAAACCAAGTGGATTTCCAAAGGGGGGTCTCGAGTGAATTTGCTCCATGAGGTATGAATGAAGTTTCAATGTGATGAGCTCAATTACATAAAGGGTTAGCAAATACTACAAAGATACAAACAAAGACAATTAAGAGAGAATGCTGAATGAATGAATTTATCAGAGGGTGACATCTCTCAGCAGGTGCATAAATGAAGCAATGAATTTCTGAAATGTAGATATTGATGGCTGGAAGGTCAATATTACAGCTAGGATCAATGTATTCACAAACAAATAGTAACGGAAAGGAGAAAAGAAGAAAAACAGCAATGATGTGAAACAGAGCTACAGGTGATATGATTTTGGAAGGAATGTTAGTTAGCAACAAATCCAGGCATCCAAATGAAAATTATAGAATATATGTGGACATCAACAGAATGCTCATTGGGATTTGGTCAAATCTAATGCCCAAACCTGTATATGATACCTCCCTGCAGTAAATTAATGCACATTCTGTGAATGTACTGGTACAAGAGTAGCATCAAATGCATTTGAATGCATATTCTCAATCAGATCACTCCGTAAGAAAAATCTAATGCCGCAATGAGTGAATGAATTCACATTTTCCCTACATGAATTATGTCAATTGACATAGTTCACTACTTCAATGTAAACTAGATATCGTAGAGATTGTAGTAGAGTACAGAGTTAAGTTTCTTAAACCAAAAAACATACCAAGCAACTTTGCTTAGCATTGCAGAACTTAAAGCAAATTGTCTCTTTTCTTAAATACTACATGGAAGTAAAAACATCAATGTTTGCAGTTTCATAACCACATTTTAAGGAAGCTACCAAGGATTGCACCTTGAGGATCCCTCAGAGGTAAAGGTATAGAGAATATCATCTAGGAAAAGCTTACAAACTTGTTTGGTACAGTGACTTATAACGCTAGTATTAGACTATGATTAAAAAGGGAGCAGACCAGCCAGGTTGAACAGAAACTGGTGACCCGGTCTGAATACTGGGTCACTCAATGAAAAACCCAGTAGGCCAGTATGGGCAAAAAGTCAAGAACTGAAAAACCTTGACGACTTGGAATACCCCAGTCAATCTCATACATGGTGTAAAAAGGCTCTTACGGGGCGCGCTTTGAGGCATGCCAAAAGGTGAGACGTACAGAGGAGGTAACAGGCTTGGATTTTTTTCCAGAGGTCAAGAGGCTTACACCTGAAAAGTTGAGGCAAGCGGCTTTAAGCCATTTTGTGAGACACAATTGCCTTTGTTTTTATCTTTTTAATGGGTTGTAACTTAAGAAAGGCCCAGTGTATTTATATAATAAAAGGCCATATGTTAAACATGTTTTCATAGTCCACACTAAACCCCTAACAAGTCTTAGTAACAGTTATGTACGTTATGAACGTGGTTTATTAATCTGCAATGAGTTCTCACATAAAATGCGGAAGAAGATGAGCTAGCTGGGTGAAGAAAATGGTTGTTGGTTGGAAAAAAATTGAAAACCAAAATTCATAAATAGATATAGAGGAGACTGGAGACCCAAAAGACGGTCGACAGAGGATTACAGAGAGAGATTCAAGATATAAAAGTAAAGAGAAAAAATCTAATCCCTATAGAACATTATTAGATGGAGCCTGGGACGAAGGAACAAAATCTAGAACTTACCCTTGTCATCGCACTGCTGTCATCAAGACAGGGAGGAACCCTGCTCAGTGGTCACAATGTAAGCAATAGATAATTACTATTCTTTATTGTGATGTCATTACCGGCTGCAACAAACATACGATGGGAGAGTGCGAAATAGGATTTTCACATTGTGAGGTAATTGTACAAACTTTTTCCATGTTGGTTGATAATACTTAAATATAAGAATTGCTATTTTTAGGAAGTAAATATTAGCACATTTACATTTCAAAACTAAGTGTCTATGTGTACTGCAAAATTTACAACTGATTCCTAAGACACTTAAGGCATCTCAGATTCATTCGTTCATCCTATTTTTAACAACTGTTAAGCGTTCTTTCAAAAAAAACTGTTAAGCGTATAACAAAACTAACTTTTCAAAATACCACATGTGTTTTAGGATTTGGTTATTTTGATAAATATTGGCGAACATTTTCATGTAAAGAAAGCTCATTGTATACCATCTACAATCATCTAAGTCTAATGGATGAAGTACAGAATACTAGGAAAGGGATTGTCCACCAATGATGAAGCTTATGGGTCACATACAACAACTAGATAAGGAAGGAGCAATCTACATATGTTATTCTTTTAGCATTTTTTTCACTAATTACGGAGTATAAGATAAAGAGGATAATATTTTGTGCCTTCCTTGTCTAGTTGTAAATAGGATACGCCAACGCAAGTAGATATGGAAATTTTCGCTTGAGAAACAAACAACTGAAAGATTATTAAACAAAAAACTATGAAATTATATTTCCCAAGCCAGCATATTTTCAAGGATAGATGAAGCATTCGACTGGCATAATATTGGTGAAACGTTATAATTAGTATTATATTAGATAGATTGTATTAGAATACTTGGTTAAACAAAACAAAATTCTAGATAACGTTAATGTATCTACAATAAAAGACTGAAAGTATTCACTTCCCAAAATCATCTTAGGGGGTGTTTGGAACTGATTCTGCTTCTATTTTTAAGTGATAATCAGAATCAGAATTTTCTGCTGTATGAAAAAGTGATTCTGTCTTAAGTGTTTGGTATTGATTCTGCTCTATGTAATAGAGAATCAGTTTTGAGTGTTTGGATAAGCTACTTTTCCAAACTGATTTTTGTGTAAATTTACCAAAAGGACACTATTGCTGCTGTGAAAATTCCATAGACTTATGGAATTGAATGTCGTTCCCAGTTTTGCTAGGCTTAAGTGAAAATCATATGCTTATTAGTTATTACTAAACCAAAGAAATTATTTGCAAAAAAAAAAAAAGATGAAAGACCAACACAATAATTCGAATTGAGAGTATACCTTGAAATTATTACTAAATCAGTTAAGGTCTTTGTATTGGACTTGAGAAAATCAACAAACTCACAAGTTGAGAGTATACCTTGAAATTGAAGCCGAGAGATGAAGGTTGGAGAAACCGTCGCTGGAGAAGCCAAGCCCCGACCCAAAGGGTTGCGTCGCCTGGAGACAATTGTCGGAGAAGCTCTCGCAGGAGAACCCCAAGCGCCGGCCTAAAGGGTTTGTCGTACAGAGCCACAAAGACGATGGAGAAGAGAAGCTCTGGAGGGTAGAGAATGCCTAAAGGTTTGTAGCTGATTTGGGCTTAGCGAGAGTTACGAAGGATATTTTAGTAATAGAATCTGGTAGAATCTGAAGCTGATTTCATAAGCTGGTAGTACCCAGCTTCTGCCAAACTGATTCTACATCTAGTTTAAGAGAAGTTTTTTAATCAAATCCAAACACCTTCCAAACTGATTCTGCTTCAAAGTGCTCCTTGGGGCAGCAGAATCAGCTTCTAAAATCAGATCCAAACACCCTCTTAATACAAATGGATGTTTAGACTAATTGACCGACACATGTGTACACATACAATCTAAATGGATGACACAGAGCGATACATATACGCGTATACATAGACCTAAAAAGTATAAACACAACAAATAGTGGAATATACCTTGTCAAGGTAAACACAATTTTTTAAGAAGACCAAAGGTGATGCAACGTTGACGCCTTATACCTTCACCAAGCAAGGATCTTGTAAATTAGAAAAAACAAAGATAAGCCGCCAGTATAACAAAATCCCAAAAAGAACATTTTACGAGTCTTCAATTAAAGAAAAACTAATAGGATTTTTGTTAGGGCTCGAATTGAATAAAAAATAAAATTTTGAGGTCACCCAGGTCAATTAATTGGAAATAACAAAAAATAAATAAATAACAACTAATTTCCAGAATAATACAGTGTAGTAAAGCGTACGTGAGACCTTAGTTGATTTTTTTTGCAAGGACCTTAGTTGATATCTGAAGACCGTAAACATACGAAGTAACACTAAATCCCACCAAAATTACTAGAAGGAGTATAATGGATGAGGATGAGATCTGGGTTCGGAGACGCTGTCAATGAAAACGAAGGTTAGAGTAGAATATACCGGGTTACGAACGTATCCCAGGGAGAAACTGCAGGAGAAAAAAAGGATGCGGCGCTGACTAATGGATTGGCGTAGGGTTATTATTGGTCCTCTCTCGAGCCCTAATCTATTTCTCTGCTCACCCTTGACAGCTGCCTCGCTAAAGTTACCTCCCTGTTATGAATTTTATTACTCCGTATAAATGGTTGTTTTCATACTTTCTTGGTCATATTTTGGTATGATAAAGCACCTGAGTTTTTTCCACTTTTGGTCCCCGACTTTAGTGTTGGGACAATTTTAGTCCCCATCTTTTGTTTTTCCTAGATTTGGTACACAATTATGAAATATTTCCCAATTTTGGTCCTCCAGTTGATTTTCCGATCAACTGCACACATGTGTGTCATGTGCTAATTAATGGGGGTCAAAAGAGTCATTCTATTGCCAAATTCACAGCTCTTAATCTCCTGCTCTTGGATTAGGTGGAGTAGTCATCTTCTACTTTCATCTTCCGCTTTTAATATTCTATAGCAGATGAATATTCCAGAGTAAGTTTAAAGAATTGACTGCAAAATGATGGATTTAGCCGCCATTGGAAGCGGCAGCGCACAAGCTTCACACCAAAGTAAGTCCTTAGCTTCTACTATACACTATCACCTAATTTCCTATAGACTACGAAATCTCGACCCAATTTAGTCCTTATACATATCTGGTTCTTAAATATGGACCTTAACTATACACTGTACCCAGTTTAACATATGTTTATGGAAGTACCCTTCTCAGTTATGATGTAAAATGGTAGGACTAAATTGAGCAAAATGTATAGTCTTAGAGCGAATTGAATTGTTTAGAGTTCAGGGACCAAATCTGGTATTAACTCCTTGTATAAGCACTGACGTTGTGGATCTAATGGTGCTGAGAATGGTGAAAAAGAATTTTGAATATACAATAGTTTAGATGGAAGCAAAGTGGCTGATGGAATGTTTTCAGTAGGAAAGATACTGGCTACTGGATAGACTAATGGCATTAACAACAAAAATTTGTAGATAAACTATTGAATTGTAGCTATCCTTTAGAATAATGATTTGATTTCCCATTCTAAAAAGCAGGTCCTTCTATTTTTTTTTTAAACCAAAGTAAGTCACGAACATTCTGACTCAAATATAAAGTGTAAAGATGTGGTTTAACTTTTATTGAGATGTTGTAAAGGTATAGACCACATCCAATGTGCATTATTAAAGATAGTGGTGGCAGAGATTATAAAAATGCACTTTTCTTTTGCACCGGAGATGGACCCTTCAGCACATTTATAAATGACATTAAAAGCTAGTTGTCCAGTTGAGTAGCATAATTTTTACCTATTGACCGCAGAGTTGAACCACATCTTACCAAGAATAGATACATATATCAATATGTGTGTTACCACAGTTATTTTCATTGCTTTATGATTCCAATTGCTATCCACATACATAACATTCTGTAAGAATTATAGATATTAATTAAACACATTTATAATTAGTTTGCACCTATTTTTTCAGAGGGGAGCAGTAGTTTATTTGTGCTCAAAATGCTACATGGTGGAAATATTGACTTACACATGACACCCCATGTGAATCTAGGAGGTAAGTTAAATTTCTTCAATGATGAAGATGTTGATGAATTTGGTCTGATAGCTCTAGCAGAAAAGTTGGAGGAACTAGGGTACACTAACTTAGTTTTTCCCCTCTGAACATGAGTTTTTCTCGTTCTCAGACCGAGGTTTGGAAAAACTAGTCTCTGAACTAACAAAAGACGAGCAGAAAGTTGCTAGGGAACACATCCAACTTCATTTCTCAAACTGTAGAAAAGAGGGACACAATTGTAGAAGGTGTCCAAATGATCCTAAGAACAGAGACAAACTAGTAAGTAAAATGATTTATCTATTAATTTTTTTCCAATAAAAATAGTAGGATATGTTTTTTAATTCATATGCTATGAGAAGCATTGTTATACTACCGCTTGCTTGTTTTGTGCAGTGTAAACCAAGAAAACAGTAAGAAGTAACCCTTCTCAATCAAGGTTGATACAATCCTTGAGCAAACAGAAAATGCAGTGAGCATGGATGCTGAAAATGTCATGAACATATATGGATGTAGTTGGATAATTGTCAAAAGAATAGTGGAGATGCTAAGCTTGATCAATCTTAGATATTTTTGTTAGGATTTTGTTTTAATATGTTAGAGAGAGAAAATGATGGAGCTGGATCATAAGTATTTTTGTTTATCTTAAATTGGTTTGTAATTGTATTATTTTTTAAAACTCAAGTGGTTACATAGCAGCACATTTTTGTTTGAGACATCACCAAGATCTTAAATATAAGAATGAATATAATTATGTTTCCTTTACATGGTTTTCTTTTCATTTCTTATGCAGTTGTTTCAAATCTTATAGAAAGAATCTCACTACTTCAATGATGTTTGTGTGAATTCTTTTTTCTTGCGATGATGTTTGTGTGAATTCTGATTTACTTATTTCTTTGTAATATTGGATGTCGTGTGTGTTGGAAAAAACACTCCGGACTTTCCCGCTTCGTGAAGTTAAGATAGACACTTAGGAAATAAGGTAGCAATGGGAGCACACGATTTAAATTCTCCAATATGGAGATTCTTCCACTATACAAAAGAATAGTGGGGTATACAAGGATGTTACAAAGTTGTCTCACTCAATGGTGGTTCACTCAAGCTTGAGGATATGAACTTCCCAAGCTATCTCTCTTGTCTCTCAAAGAGACTCTAACTTTCTCACTCTAAGAAGTGGATTCTCTCTTGCTAGGATGGTTAGGAATGGAGGCTCCTACTCCTATTTATACAACTCCACCTCCATAATGAGTGGTGGAGAGTAGTTCTCTAGAATGATCTACACATAAATACCTATTCTAGAGAATTCCAAGGAATCTCTACACCTCTCCATTCTCTTCCATATGCTTCCATACTCTTCCATAGGCTTTCGGAAGGTTCCACACATCTCTAGAATAGTCTAGAGGATTCCACACTGTTCCACAAGCTTCTAGAGAGTTCTAGACTTCTCTAGGATTCTCCGGAACGTTCTAGAAAATTCTATACTTGTCTAGAAAGCTCTAGAATTTTCTAGAACCTCTCCAATTAAGAAGGGATCCCAACAAATCTCCCCCTCACGACTTAATTGGGGGGCTGTAGCAAACCTGCACCTTGACAGCAATCTTCGAACTTCTTTGTCGGTATTACCTTGGTCATCATGTCTGACCAGTTCTCGTTAGTGTGAACCTTGTCAAGATGCAATTTCTTTTCCTCGAGGACTTCTCGGATCCAGTGATACCTTGTGTCAATGTGCTTTGTGCGGGAATGAAATGTTGAGTTTTTCGCCAAGTAAATTGCGCTTTGATTATCACACTTCAACACGTACCTTTCTTGATCTATTCCCAGCTCGAGCAGAATGTTCTTCATCCACAACATCTCCTTGCAAGCTTCAGTAGTTGCGATGTACTCTGCCTCTGTGGTGGATAATGAAACACACTTTTGCAACTTTGATTGCCAGGAAACAGCTCCCCTGCAAAAGTAGTTAGGTAGCCCGATGTTGATTTCCTTGAATCAATATCACCGGCCAAGTCTGCATCTGTGTATCCTTCTAACACAGGTTTTCCTTTTCCAAAGCATAAACATCTTTTGGAAGTTCCTCGTAAATATCGGAGGATCCATTTGACCGCTACCCAATGTTCATTCCCAGGGTTGGCCAAGAAGCGACTGACGACTCCAACTGCATAGGCGATATCTGGTCTTGTGCATATCATTGCATACATGAGACTGCCTACTACCGATGAGTATGGAATCTTCTTCATTTCCTCCATTTCTTTCTCATTTGTTGGACTTTGCTTCGAACTCAACCTGAAGTGTCCAGCAAGTGGTCTGTTTAGCGGCTTTGATTTGTTCATGTTGAATCGTTCCAACACTTTCTCAATGTACCTCTCTTGGGATGTCCACAACAGTCTCTTCGATCTATGACGAGTTATTCTCATCCCAAGGATTTGTTTAGCCGGTCCCAAATCTTTCATGGCGAAACTCTTGCTTAGATCCTTTTTCAAGGCATCTATCTTTATGCGATCTTGTCCAATGATCAACATATCATCAACATAGAGTAGAAGTATGAGGAAGTTGCCACGTTCATACCTCTTTATGAAGATACAATGATCGCTTTTTGTCTTTGTAAAGTCATGCTCTGCCATGAAGGATTCAAACTTCTTGTGCCTCGGTG